TTTTCCGCACTATAAGGCGCACTTAAAAGCCTTTAATTTTCTCAAAAAACGACAGTGCGCCTTATAATCTGGAGCGCCTTATATATGGATCAATTGGTTAATTGGTTGATCCATACTGGTTGTACACGGCGCTCAGCGACACTGACTCGGATAATGACGAGAGGGAGCCGGGCATGTTGGATGCCGTAATCGCCCAACTGTTCAATTCGGACACTGAAGAAGAAGAATTCGAGGGATTCGTGGATGGGAATGATCTGAAAAAGTGAGCTTTACCTGTTATACGTAACTGAACAATGTTGAGTTATGCACTAACATTTGAATTAGCGGTATCAGACTGTGTTTCTTTTACGTGTTTACAACTGAACAAGGCTGGGAGATATTGTGAATATGCACATTAATGTTTGAACAACGTTGAGTTATTGTGAATGCACTACGTATGAAACGTTGTTTTATACGTATTTATATTTATATATTCACAATATCTCCCAGCCTTGTTCAGTTGTAAACACGTTCTATTCTATGCGCCTTATAATCCGGTGCGCCCTATATATGAAAACAGTTCTAAAATAGGCCATTCATTGAAGGTGCGCCTTATAATCCGGTGCGCCTTATAGTGCGGAAAATACGGTAATATTATTGGAAACCATGAGCTGTAACACAGAGGGGGTTGGTTGAGTGTAGTTGGAGATGCAGGCAGACCAACATGTACAGAAGGCTGTTTTAGTTAGGCCTCTAACTAAAAATGATTTGAAGTGATTTGTGTGTTATTGAATTTTGAGTTTATCTGACTTCCAGAGCCCTGAAGTTCTAATCTAACATTTACACATACATAAACGAACAAGCAACAAATACAGGGCAGGTTAAACATGTCTGAGCATGTCTGCCGGCCATTAATATGTCCCCCTACTGTAACAATCATCCGAGTGGTGACATATTAGTATCTATGCTAGTTGATCTCAAACCGCAGCTGGCTGGAGCATCTGCTCTGGCATCTGTTAGCAACGACCACTTCATAGCTAAGGCTAACCAGAGAACACGGTGACTAATCTCAGCATCACCTCGTCACTCCGAGTACGTACATAGATTAGATTCATGCTCAGCAGTAGTGTTGATGATCACAACTATCAGAAAGAGGAGACTGTTCAAGTCAAACCTGATATCTTGCATCATGACCAGTTTTCAATGAGCGTGTTTTTGTTGAGTGAAGAATTAAATCCACACAATTTTGCTTGTTTTTTCTGCTGACATGGTTGACTCATGATTTGATTCACACATGGCTTTAGAAACACCTTTTAAGCACAACGATATTTATACTCTGATGTTACAACTATTTAACACATTTCTCCCGTGCTGGAAATACACAAATATGTGTGAGAATCTGTATGTGTGTTTATTCTCTGTAATCTTTTAATGACATGCACTAACGACGCGTTTAGGCTCAAAGAGAGCTCAGGCCATAAAACACTTAACACCAACGAACACACACACACACACACACTAACACACTGGCTAAGGCTTGGTCAGGCCGTAGCCGCTGAGAGGATCCACCGGGAGATTAGCCAAATCAGAAAAGCGTTTTAGAGAAAGGCAGCTTTAACGCAACACAACACAGATTGTGTGTGTGTCATGGAAAGAAGAGATAGATGTCCACTGACTCAAACCAAATACTTTTCCCAACTTTTTTTTTTTTTTCCATAAGAGCCTTCTTGTTATTTCCTTCAACATCTGCTTTGAAACAGACGCCTTCAGCCACTCAGCATTAACATCCATCACTGGCAGTTTTGTGATTACAGAGTCTTGAATCTTCAATCTTCTTCTCTTGTGATTCAGGTTTTCCACAGTGCACTTTGCTGTTTCCAAATGTTTCTTTTTTAAAACCTACAGTAACCTCATTTTACTACACTTCTTAATATGACAGTGCCTGGTTCCCTGGGAGTGAGTTTGAGTAGAATTTCTCATGAACGTGCCACGGTGTGGATAAAAAATTGAAAACTATAGGAAGAACATATTCCTAATTGGATAGCAGTCACAATACATAATGTAGAGAATTTGACATTTGACTTCATCTGACAGTGTTGATTTGATGTGGATCCATCAAGCTCATTTCAGTGGCTGGAAACTGGGCTGTAGCTTCAGATTTTAGGGCAGAAGTGAACATGACATTTGTTCTGACAAGAGACAATATTTATTTGATGTTATGTGACCAAGTTGTAGATTTCATGTGGGTGTCTTTTCCCAGCACTACTTGGTCCAGTTGAAGAGAATGTAGGGAAATTTGTTCTGACAAGCAACCATATTTATTTGATGTAATGTGACCGAGTTGTGGATCCCACATGGATGTGTGCCGCAATTGTTGACAGTAACATTTTTAAAGGCCACCACTCTGTCTTTTTACTTTTTCTGGTATATCTCTTGTGTGGTTGAGCGAAATATTATACTGTAGTTCAATATCATATTCAATATTGAATAACAATTTTAAAACCACCAAGCTAAGTGCAGATGGTGTAAGACTATGAATGATGTGCATGAATTGATTTTTTCAACACAACAAAGCCATGCGTGAAACAATCAACAAAACAATAAACGTGTTTTATTGTGCGCAATGTTCCTAGGTGACTCATTCTCCTGTCGGTTAAACGGAAATTCAAATCAAGGCTACCCAAGAAGTTTAAGAAAACAGCACAATTGCTTGAGTCTACAGGTAAGCATTGTAATTTAGTTTGCTGAATGGGGCTAATGTTAGCAGTGCAAGCATAGCCAGCCTTTTGTCCTCACAACAGGTTAACATCCACAAGCAGGGCTCGACATTATAACTGGCCTGCTGGTACGGATGAATGATTGATAAGAGTCCAGGCCAGCTGATTGCATGTTCAGCTGTTACTGCGTGAAAAAAAATAGGAAGTCACATGTTCTCAATTTCACAGCGCTATCCTGTCATACCGGTGTTTTATCTGTATTTTTTTTTTAAACGTCGCGCTAATAACTGCTACAGCATCAACGTATCATAAGCGCTCGTGTGTCACAGTTGAAAGGCAGCCGACGGCTTCACTGCTGTCCCTCGTGCGAGCGCGCTCACTACTCTCGAATTGTACACTCGCACAGATTTTAGCGCAGGTTTTCTCTGACAAAAATCATGTTTGGTAAAACGGTTTTAAAACCATCAGATCCCAACAAAAGCCGAGCTTAAATCAGCATTCAAAGGGGAAAAAAAATCACCGGAAGAGTTGAGAGTGACAGCAGGGCATGACGAAAACAGAAGGGAGAAAAGTTTCAGCCACAGTGACAGACAGCTAGAGCTGGAACACTCTGCAGCTAAATTTCCCCTCAAAGTTAAAGACTAGATCCTGGTAAATATAAAAGTTATTCACAAAGCATCTTAGCCCTTAAGAGAGGTCCTAAAGTAAAGATCTAAGGATGAAGAGTTTCTCACAGAGAAGAAAGAAGGAGAGATTCCAGCTCTATCACAGCCTCATATTAATATCAGATAAGTAGACTCTTACAGTTACCAGCATGGTGAATAAACATGAGCACATAGATATAAGAAAAATACACAATATTTTTATAACTAGAGCTCAATTAATTAAATAAAAGTTGGAATTTACTTGTTTGTTTTACTTGAATTGTTCAAGAGTAGCCTGAATTGGTGACTGTTATTCTTCGAATCAAAAGTAATGTCATCGGTTACAATGGTCAGGCCAGTGATCTTTGAAAACCAGTGACCGCAAATTTAGCTTAATGTCAACCCCTGCACAAGCATGTCTTAAATCTGGTGCTGCATTGCTCCAGTCCTATCTGTGCACTGTGCTTGTTTACATCCAGTTAGTAGAGTGAGCAGAGCAGGTCCATTAACCTGAGCTACAGCCTGTCTAGGGCTTCAGCCCCGGCCTGTGGTGGGTGGTTGCGTTGTAGTTTGAGTAAAACATCCGACCAGCATTGGAGGCCAGCATTTAAAAACATTAATAATTGATTTAATTGAATCTTATTCTGGTGCCGACTAACGAGGGGGACGACGTTTAACCATTTAGTCAGCTAAACCCAATCATGTTTATGTGTGAGGCAGACGCAGGAAGAGGGACTTCCATAGCTGAAGATGTTTCTGTCTGTTACAAAATAATTGTCAACACTCAGAGGTGTAAATTGAGGCAGGAAATAAAAAAAAAAGAAACGTATTAAAAAGAAAAAACAGGAAAGCAATTACCAACAATTGTTGCTGACATTCTTTGGAGCCAACAAAAAAACACTTGTAGTGACAAATTCATAACATTTAGTTTCCTTTTGCTCTAAGGTTTTTGGGGAAATTAATTTCCACTGTTATCAGCACTGATTATAGCTTCCAGCATCCATCGTGAAATAATACATTCCTTTTGCTAATTATGATTTTGTGCACTGTATGTAATGTGTGAGGGCTGACCAGCGGCGATTCAAACAACTATTACGAGCCTCATTTTTTAAACCTTTCTTAAAATGAGTTGTAGTGCTTAATCACAATAACGGGATGGATCTTTTCTTTTGAAAGATTTTATTCATTTCATATAATACTGACACATGTACTCAATAGCGGTTAACAGGCGTTTAAAAACACAGATATTAAAACCATTAGAGCGTCAATTTATCTTTAGCCCCTTTGATTCCATGGACCATTTTTTTACACGTTTACATGTTTCAATATACTGTGACATCTACTTTGTATTAGTCTAATCTCACCCCTGATAGGCTTTTGTCCGTAGTCAAAAAAACAAAAGAGAAATGAAGACTGACAAACTGTCTCTTCATTTTTAAAAATTGCATGTGGTAAGCCACAAACCATTCAAGGTAAATTATTATGATGAAGGTGAAATTAAATTATAAAAAGTAAAGGTTACGTTCCAGATCTAAGACACATGTTGACAGCATCACGTGTGTCATGTGGCACAGTAAAATTTAAACGTGTCATCCAGACAATATTATAGAAAGCCATTCTTGATGCTTTCTCCTCCTTTTTTTGTCCTGACGTTTGTTATCCATCCCGTTTATTCTGGGTATGCATAAAGACCACAACTAAGCCATTGAAGAGAGATGAAGAATACAGATTGCTGTAAAGAAAGTTGTTTGTCTTCTAATCCAGTGGTGTTAAGTTCATAGTTCACTTTTTTCATTTTGTCATTTGTAGTAAAAGTAAAGGATTGTGGGTGATGCAGTCCTCTGCAGTAAACGACCAAGAAACACAGTTTTGTCAAAGGGAGACGGTGTCAAATTCCTGTCTTTTCAGCCACCATATCCTCAGAGAAATTAAAGAATAACTGATTCCTTGTAGAAGTCCTTCTGAGAGGGTTTTCCTTCTGATAGGTCCATTGTGCTGTGTAAGTAAGTCCACCATCATTTTCCTCTGTCTCCACCTCCTTTAGACGGCCAGGACTATCGGGTTACCTGAAACACAGAGAAGAATTAGGTCACTGATAGTAGTTCCTAAAAAAAAGTTTGAACGTAGTCTAAGAGTAAGCAGTGAAGGTCACAGAGTCGTGTACCTGGAACATGTCACCTGAAAGTGTGAAATGATGCAGTGCTGTGCAGCACAGGGTGCTAGGAGGAAATAATAGGAACTGATGGTTGTTTTTGGAGCAGGGCTTGCCCCTGAAAAGGTGTTAAACCCAGTGGCAAGTATGTTCTGACCCTCAGACCTGCTGTTGTCCCGTAGTGCACTGCTCTCATGTTAAACCAACAGATGTTGCAAGTGACCCCTCCAACGACAATATCTTTGTTGGCAGCTGAGATACCCCAATGTAACGGTAATTTAAAAAACATAAAAACACTTCTTTTTAAAAAAAATCTCTGGTTTTGGTTTGGTGGGTGGTAAGTTCAATTAACACTATACTGGAGCAACAAAGAAGTGCTTGGCATAGTCTCTGTATCTTCTGGCAAAAGACTAAACAAGACACAGTTTCAGTCATGGCAGACGGCCCACAATGCCTCACTTGCAGAGCCTGGCCCTCTGCCATGTCATTTGGTCCTTCCAAAATGTTGCTCCAATCACATGGTCTTTTTTTATTTCTTCTACTCATCTTTCTTTTCTTAGTTTATTTCAATTTTTCAGAGACATTTTCAACCAGCTGAGGACCAAAATAGAGCTACACCAAGTGCTGTAGAACTGCCAGTACGCTGGCCTTATAATAGACCAGACTCTCAAAACCCTTCCTCTGTCTTCCTACATGTCTTTCTCTCTCATTGTGTTTCACAGACACATCCCCTCTCAACCTAACACATGCATGTATTTCCTCTTCAGGGAGGAAGTCTTTTGTCTAACACACTGTGAAGGCCAGCCATCATTCAGAGAGCTCAGAGCAGTGTTTCCTCCAAGCTGGCTGCTCAAGCTCTTCTACTGTATCTGCTCTTGATGGCTCCAGGCCACCCTTCCTGGGCCTGCACCCATAGCCTTCAGGCATCTACTCCTGTGCCTGATCAAAGAGTCTGCAGGCGTTTGTAGTCACGCCAGTTCACTATGCACACACACACACACACACACACACACATACACACACACACAGCTGTATCTCTGCGCCTGATATGTTTGGAGGTGCTTCAAAGTCCCTTTAGGTATTCATCTCCTGGCCTGTTTAAATATGCCTGTAGGTGGCAGTTTCTGTGCCACATTAGGAAGCACGAATATGTCCACAGATATCAGTTTACAAAGAACACAAGTGTTCAAGTGTCATCTCAGGAGGTCTTTTCAGGCCTGTGAGTGTCACACTTCCTTGTGCTTGTATCCCAAAAACTGTGTACACAAGTGGCTGCTCAGACTTCACTAGCACAATCCCAACAGGAGGATTAAGGACACCAAATTTGACTTGGAAAATATTTTCTTGATTTCATGATGATTTTCATGGAGATTATGTTTCTTCCACTAAAAAAATCAGTCTGCAAAGCTGCTCTAACTCATCTTAGGCTGAAGTAAGACACGGAGAAAGGAAACTCACCTGCAATCAGTGCAGCACTAGATTGAGGTTTTTTTGCCTCATCAAAGTGAAAATCAGTGGACTCTGTCCTTTATATTCATCATTGCATAAACACTGACCTATCCTTTACCGTGTCCTGTTGAGTGTTTACTTCATGTGCTTCCTTTGAGTTTGTAGATATTCTCTGTCATATATAACTCTTTTGTGTCTTACAACCCTTCTTGCTCATTCTCCACTTTGTTGGTAAGAAGACACATTAAACAGACTAGTGTTGAAATGACTGGACTTTAATCTACATATTGATATATTTTCTGCTCCAGAGTCAGTCATATGAGCTGTGTCAACGGTCTGCTTAACGAAGCAGGAAGGTGCTACATAGAAATCCCAGATGTAAGAACCATTACCAATCAGAATAAGAATCCAACACAGACCTTGACGTTTCAATTTGACTTTTTTAAAATGTATTCTTAAATAATCTAAAACCTGTATGGAATTATATTGCACATGTATTGAGAAGCTGTTTGTCTTGTTTGTTTCAATAACAGAGAAAAGTGCGTCAGAATAGAAGAAACTCCTGCTTAAGCATATTGATGGTTCTTGCAGACTGCCACTTCCATTTACTGTTTATATAAGCTGGCGTGAAAAATGCACGAGTGTCCGACACCTTGTCATTTGTTTGTTATGTGTACATACGACTGTGTGTGCCTCTACACGAGTACATACACACAGTTGCCTGCAGTCTATGACAGCTCAGTAGCTTGGCAGCCCAGCCGTGTCTGTCTGCTCATCCATATGATATTATTTGGCATTGATCGGGCTGTCTCCCACCCCCGCCCTGTCTCCTCCCTCTGCCCTCCTCCTCTCCTCCTCTTCTCTGCTCTCAGCCAGGGGAGGATGGAGTGTGCCAGACCCTCTTTTGTCTTCTTGCCTGCTGTGTTGAGCCAGACACAAGCAGAAGCTCTCAGTCAGCTGACCACTTTCAGTATTCTTGTTTTCTTTATCTTATTATCTACCTATCACCTATGCCTTCAGCACCTTCCTCTCCACCCTCCTCTTGTTATGCCATCCATCTCCCTTAAATCCCTTGTGCTCTCTATCCTTCCTCTCTCTCTCTCTCTCTCTCTCTCTCTCTCTCTCTCTCTCTCACACACACACACACACTGTCTCTCTCCCTAGTCAATTTCAATTAATGAGTCGGTCTTAATGGGACTATAAGAGAATGTTCGATGGTATTGATCTGGATGCCTGCGCATCTTGACCCAGGCATACCACACCAGAGGAGAAAAACATCACTCTTTTCATCATCATCAGGCAAACACATCAGCCAAAGTGCTTGTATCATGTACACACACACACACACACACACACACACACACACACACACACACACACACACACACACACACACACACACACACACACACACACACACACACACACACACACAAATCAACAGCAAGATAATTAATCTAAAACCTGAATGCAGGAGATAGAAAATATTTGTGCTCTTTCAAACTATGACTGAATGATTAAGAGATGCCTGGATGAGACTGGTTGGCTTTGATCTCATGTGAGGGATTATGAATGCACATTTTGGGGTTCATAATACAGAATGCTTGAGATGAGATGTATGGAGCAACTGAAATCACATAATTTCCATATCTGATTAACCCTTTAGTGTCTCTGTTTTCCACTGTGCTGGTTAAATACTGGTCTGTACTTTTCTTTGTCATCTATCCCCCCTGTGATGTGAGCTGGTCTTTTGGAAAGGTTAGTTGCACTTCTGAACAGACATACACATTTTTTAGCACTGCAGAAAACTCTGCCAGGTGTGAGGATAAGAGGAGGGGCTGTTGGGAAGGGAGAAGTGTTACTTTAAGGGGCAAGATCCACTCTGCTAGGTGAGAGGTGAGCAGGAGAAAAGTGGAGGAAGGAATTCTTAATCAGCTCGGCGTGCAGGAGACGGTCTCTGAGTGTTTTAGAGAAAGAGAGAGCGGGGAAAGAGGAGACCATGTGTGATTGAAGCTTTTCTCATTCCTCTCTTTTTACCCGAGGAGATGCACTCTCTCCCTCTTCTGACCACGCCTTTCGATCAATTATTTAGGCAGAAAACAAAGGTCTGCACCAAGCCATGAATAATGGAAGGTGAGAAGGCAGGGAGAAGGATGGAGGTTAGAAACAGAAACACACAGTGACATGAGGTGAGTCTCGCACAAATTCCCTCCTATGACAGACAGTTAAGAGCCCTGCTCAGGTCAAGACACTGAAGAGAAGCTAACAGGTGCCAGTCGGGGCTGAGCGGAAACATATATAATGTAAATCCACACCAACTTTCATAAAGACACAGACTGATATTCTAGGAAATACAAGGAAAACAACTACTTGTGCATGAATCGCACATGCTGTTTTATGTGCAACTCAGAGCAGACTCCTTTCTGAGGAATTATAAAAGCACTATGTATGCATTTTGTGGTTACTTGATTTTGCATCAAGTCAAATGGCATGTCAGTCAGATTCAGAGAAACAGGGAAAGTGGGAATGCAGCGCATGGTGATGTTCTGACTGTGTGTGTGTTTTATTTGACTGGTTCCTGTTGGCCTTGTTTTTTTCTTCTGAGAATTGTTTGATGTAAGAACCAAAATGGGTGGATAGGGAAAGTAAAGAGAGAAGAATAAGAATGATTTGGAAGTGAAAAAAAAAAAAAAGTATGGGGATAGAGACAAATAAGCCTGGATGGAAATAGAAAGAGGACAGGGATATAACAGGATGGAGATGGAACTGGGTCATCCGGTGGTTGGTCTGACCATGATTGTGCGAGAAGTGGAGTGTTTGTGTTTGATAGAGCCAACAGATAGAAGAGAGGGAGACTGTGTGCACAAACCTTTGTGGTCTTGACTTTGTTGCCTGTGCTGCAGCTCCAACCAGTGAGGTCTGGTAGAACCTTACACTCCTCACCGTCATTACAAGGATGCATCTGACACCACCACTTCTGAGCTACAATGGAGGCTGGAGCAAGAGAGAGGAGACAGCAAATATTGAGTATAGAGAAAACATGACATGAATTGATTGATTGACTGATTGTTTTCTATACTGATCTTAAAGAATAATGTGCAAGTTGTTAACTAGTTCAACCAAACGTATTTCCCAGTAAAAGAAAATTAAAGCACAAAAACGGTGATCATAAGTTTAGTTCATTTCACCTGTTGGTCGATACATGAAATAGTTCAATATTTACTAATTGGTGGCACCATAGAACATTTTTAGCACCAAACATTTCTTTCCCTTAATTCTGATCAATTTTAACACACAACTTAAGCATTTTCTGCACCATTTAAAAAAAAAGATGATTTAGAACATTTTCACACAGTGATGCATTCATTTGAAAAGGTGGCCCTGCAGAATTCCTATAACTGTATAGCTTTATATATGTAGTCTTTGTTCATAGTCCATGTCTTTATATATGACAATACTGAAATAACTTTTTGTTTATAGAGAGGTATGAATGGCAAAAAAATGACAATTAAACATAATACAGAATGTGATTATTCTGAGACACATGGTCGGCGTTTTATTCATAGAGGGGTCGGGACATTGTTGATTGACAGACAGACGGTCACCATGGTTACTCACTCTCACCTGCCTGCTAAATACTGAACAAGAGGAGAGGAGCTATCACTTCAAACAGCATGCATGGAAATCAATGCATAGAAATAAATGATTGTACTGTTCAAAATAGTTTTTGAACAGTCAAGGTTATACATATCACAGTTCAGTGTGTTTCAATTCATTACTGGGTTCATACAGATGTTTTTTTCTTCACCTTAGCCGAGTGAAAGCTACAGTCGTCAATTTAGTCAAACTTCTGTTATGAGACACATTTTATCCTTGAAGTCTCTTTACATTTCAATATGACTTCTTTTGCTTCATCACCAAATCCTCAGCCTCAGAGTTTATGTAACAATGCAAAGCTTTGTTTTACTGCATTTCCACTCTAATAGGATATTAGATAGTTAGGCTAATAGGATATGTGCATAAAGGCAAAGGAAACACACTTCTTAATTCTTAAAAGAATAGTTGATGTTAATGTATATTTACCTAAAGTATTATAACGAAGACCTCAGAGATCCTGGCACAAACACACAAATGACTCAGCAGTGTTAGCTTTGACTCTGCTTTATCACATCAAGCTTTAGTCAATGTCTTTACCTTTTCTGTCTAAATCAGCGTTAGGTTCTGAGGTTATACTAAATAAACAAAACACATTTTATATATAAACGTCCTTGTTGATACAGACATTTAGTGGGTATGACACTAAATCCAAAATCTACAACATTGCAACCATTTTTCACAATTTTCATTTGTAATTATAAAACATTTCATCAACACTCCAAAAAGGCTAAAGCAGAACAAGGTGTACTAACCTCTAGATAAAAACAGTTTCTTGTATAATTTTACAATATCATAATTAGCCGATATCTCTCACTTAACTTACACCTAACTCATTTTGGAGTCACTTTGTGGTCAACCTTGACACAGTTTTCATCTTTTTTATTTTAGACTTTATAAGTAAAAAATAAAAGCATAAAACAATACAAAACAGATAATATATTACATTTCTCCCCTCCAATAAACCCAACCCCAAAACCCTCTGCTTCCATCCCCCCAAAACCGATCCATAGATCCAGATCCTCCCCACCCCAGATCACTCCTGGGAGAAAGACAGTCGCTTTACTAATTTCTTACAAATTCACTGTACATATGCTTACACACAGGTTTCATGCAACAGTAAGGGCAAAAAAAGAAAAAAAATCTTACAAAATGTTCTTTTTTTTTTTTTTGCAGGGCTGTCTGAAGGCCCAGTTCAGATTGTCTAATGAAACTCATATTGGGTGTTGATCTTCTGGGATCCTTTTATGTTCATTTCACATGTACTGAAGTACAGCATAGAACAACAGGACCATGAATTCTCCTTCATTGAGCATTTTCATTATTCAGCCTCTCAGTTAAGAGGCAATTATGTTGTATTAGAATTTATTGTATTCGATTTTCTGTGTATCATTGGAATGATTTGCTTGGTTGGAAACCTCAGATTACATTCACTGTTCAGAAAAGCTCTGAATTCTGTTGCTTTTAACTTTTCAGTTTATTTGGGTAATGGCCAGAGCAGGCTTTTTATAGAATTTTAATTGCTGTTGTGATGTGTAACCTTATGACGTCCCTCCACTTTTTAATTCCTCTGAATTCATCACAAAAATCTGATTGAAAGAGGCTGTGTTTATAATTGATCAGGCTCTTGCAGTTACCAGCAGGAAACATCTTTTTACAGAAAAGCTGGGACAGAGAGAATTGTCTGATTCTCTTCCACTTATTTCTGCTTACATGGTCACAAGGACTCCCAAACAGTTCTTTAGCCAACGCAAAATACTGCCAAGAGAGTACTTACATCTTAGTGTTCACTCTCAAATGTTTTAAAACATTTGATCAATTTTTAGTTGACAGCAGGACACAAACTTCAATATATTCAAAATAAAATCATCTCCATAAACAGATGTATACGCAGTATCTGTAGGCCATTCTCAAAGTTCAAGGTATCGCATGCGTAACGTTTCAGTCATAATGCAATCCTGGATTCCATTGGTTATCTTCAGATGATAATTTAACTTTTCATTAATCTCTGCAAACAGCGTTTAAGCACAGTAATCAATCAGGTTGTAGACATCTTCTCTCTCTCTCCATCGCCATTCTCACATTTTCCGTAGCTTGTAAGAATACTGAGCTGTAAACAAAGGGGAACACACCAAAAAGACTGTGTTTGGCCCTGATATCCTTTATCATTTTTCTGAATAAACTGCTGGCTTCTTAGCAAACCTTGAAAAATCAGCCTGAGCTACCAGAGGCTATATTGTCTTCAGAGGATAGCCCATCAGTTCTGACATTTGAAATGGGCAAATGAATGCTGGGTAGTGTGTTGATAAATCCTGCTGAAAATACCATTTATCTGTGTTTTTTTAGCACTGAGGATAACTGTTTCAATTCCAGACGGAGAGTATCAATTATATTTCAGTAAGTGAAAGTTATTTTAGGGAAATGGCGAGGGTTGTTGTGGAACAGAAATTCAGCTTGGGACTATGAGATGGAGAGGCTTTAATATAAGGTGACCCGCTTTGTGCATGATGCCAAATATTTGGTTAATCCCATTAAAAACTAATATTTCATGAAATTCAACATAACAAAAGTCATGAAATTTCAGCACCACTCCACACATAACTATTACTGCTTGTTCTCTAATGCAGCTATCACGTTTATATACTCAGGACCAGTGGTACTCAGACTTGAGTATAAATGGTTCAATCTTAGTAAATCTGATATGCAATTTAGCCCATTTAGCTGCATCTTGTGCCAGCAATTTGAGTTAAGTTCTACAACTTCAGAAACCTGTTAACACTTTCGTTTTTTGGTTAGATGAGTTTTCGTGAGCCAATCAGATGTCAATAAGAAACAGGGATCAGTCCAAATTGGGAGGGGTCACTCGTTAACCCCCTGACATCAGAAACTGAAATAAAGAAACTCTATGACTACTAACCGGTCAGCCCAACAAGAAATATAATGGGGGAAGGAGGTGGTGGAGCGAGAAAATTGATAACTTTCTATTTAACCAGGTAGAAAAAAAACTTTATATGTGATTTGACTAATAAAGTGTATTATTAACACATTTTTCACAAAATATTTACAAATTCAGAAGTGTATTCTGCTTTACGTCACAAGTTCAAACACCAGCTTTCATCTAAAATAGAAGCTAGCAACCCCGTAAAGCTAATGGAAGAACAACGTGAGTGTGCATTATACCCCATTATTATAAACAGACAGAGTAGTGTCTTTGTAAATCAATGAGCTTTTAAGGTCCTTTTTTTAAATCATGATGGTTCTGGCATCGGGAGCTTGCAGGCAAATAGAAAACGTGCACAGACATACAAAGACTGGTACGTACCATCAACACAGGAGGGCATGGCCCGGGTTGTGCCAGCAACCTGCCCCGGGAAGCAGGAACATTTGACAGTCTGAGATCTCTCCTCGATCTTGTTCTTGTTGCAGCAGCGGTGGGCAGCGATCACCTCACACGTCCCTGCCTTCACGTGTACTGAAACACAGAGACAAAACACACAAACAGTGTTCATACCTGATGAGTTTACAAAAACATAATATTCTTGATATTCCATCCAACATGAGATTTCAAACATTTACAAGTAAAAGAGTAGACAGAAGGAGAGAGAGAGAGAGCTGTCTCTGGCTGGGGCTAAGCTATTCTCACCAGTGCATTCAACTTAATCAATAAAGAACTTTAAAAAGTGAAAAGGACATTAGGATTATGGTGGTGTTTTGAAATAATGTCGAATGAAAGTTTTGCTCTTGCTGCCTTAACTGCTTGCTTGTAAAATAACACACCAATGAATCCCTACCCATGTCTTCGAATCAATTATTTTCAGCATTTTAACTAGGTGACCATTGTGCTGAACAGTTTTTAGAGCTTTGAATAAACAAGTCAGAGGTCTGTGGTGTTGGAGCATCTAACTGCACTGTGTCCAAAAGAAAGAAAGAAACAACCCAACCAGGTAATTGACACAAAACTGGCGACAAGCATAGATCAGATCAATGCAGCTTTGCAGGTCTTTGTATTTGAACCTACAGAAACAAAACTTAAGTGGCTCTGTTAGTCACAAGAAAAGCAAGAAAAACATCAACACCTTTGCTGTAAAAGCACAAAAACAACAACGACAGGATGTCATACTCAATGTTAAAATTAAATGTAAGAAAACTTCTGTGATTATGAGACAATAAGCAAATGGTCCTGAGCACTCAAGAAACACACAAATCAAATCAAGAATGTTCCTTTTATGCTCTGATTTGTCCACAAACAAAACTGTGCACAAATCGAACTTACTTTGTATTTCATACACCACAAATGACAGCAAGTTGTTACTGTATGAGAGCCTAGCCACAAGCTGCTCTCTCGATTATAGAATCTATAGAGACTCAATGTTTGTTCTTTTGTAGTCTCTCGTCAATGCACAGGGAATAGAATAGTTAACAGAAAAAACGCCCATGTTTGTATTGCAACATAAAGACTTCATCGTATGGTATAGCATCTCAAACGGTCATAAGCCACGATACTAATGAATATGGGAAGCCACTTCACTACTTCTATAGCTAGCACATTGTGTACACATTTATGAACACACACTTGAATCAGACAGCCGTGTGGTTAATTAACAACAAGTCCACCCTGAGCACTGGAGTCCCTTGAGTCAGCTGAGGGAGAGGGAACAAAGACCTAGCTCCACATTTGAAGATTTTGATGTCAACACATGGTCCTTTCATAACCGCCTTTCATCAAGTACATGGAAATGTTAAGGACAAATAATAAGCCTTGCAGGAATACTGTATGTGAACATGTCACACCCTCATTGTACACTGTCCATGTCTTTAAGCATGCCCCACTTTGCATGTGGCCGCGTGTGTATAGATGTATACACGTGTATGAATGTAAAGTGTCTGCCATGAACGTCAAGGTCTGTAGGCTTTTAACACAGTTGCTGGTAATCCCTCCAATTTCCATCACAAAAGAGTCAAGTCCATAAAACAACAAAGAGCGTGCACTGTGTGGGGATGAAAACTAAAGCAGCGAACAATGACTCTGCTGTGTTTGAAGAGTATTTAAAAGTGGGGCAGGATGAACTGAATGAGCCAGTGTGAATATGTTGAACAGACTCACAGAGATTTGAAAAATTCTTAATTTGCTTGGTTAATGACAAAAAGACAAAGCTGCGATCCTGCAGAGCCCAGTTCAATTATAATCTCAAGGAAACGCACACATTCTCATATCACACCTGCTGTGTGCATCTCTCTTATCCTTCTGTCATGTCTCTGGTTTTGATCCACTCGCAGTGTGGCCAAAGGATAGTGTTTCTGGTTGATCGATACATCCATCGATCTATCTGTCAATCCAACTCCTTGAAAGAAATGAATGTCTCCTCTGCTACAAAACAGAATGTTCGTTGAGTATACTTTTTTTTTTTAAACCTCAGAGAATAATTACCAATGAATGTGTTGATCCTCTGACTTCTAGGTTCATCAACACCATCCTGCACTGAGTTCCATTTGTAGACAAGAAATATCAAATAGTGGTGGGAATCACAGGATAGTTCACGATACAATATAAGACAATACTCAAAATGTGGCCCACGATAACAATAATAACACGATGCAACGATTCTCCGTCAATTGATTTGTCACAAAATAATCAATGATTCTCCCAATGTCAAATTAACTTCAGAATACAAAAGGCCACCAAAAAGCTACAGTCCAGCTTTTCATTATAATTCTGAGATCAACTTCTTCTTCTGATATTAACTTTTGTCCTTGTACCCTTTAAGCATCATCGTGAGATTTCATCAAGCAGTGATGCTGTTAATAGTGCGGTATTTTCATTAAATGTAAATATCAATATTTGGCTCCAGATCATTGTATCAGGCGAGTCAGTGGTATATTGCAGTATCACTATTGTCCAACCCCAAATATTCCCCCCATGTCAATTGTTGATGATATGTCAAAAATAGGATCAGGAAAGGATAATTATTCCCTGCATTAAATAATGACATGTCCTGGATGTGTAATATTCTAATGTGACTTTGGGGAGTATCCCAGTAATGACAGAGGCCCAAAGAAACCAGAAAGATCATTAGTAAACTTTAGAATAAGTTTTCTAACACGAGGTAAAATAATTAATTCATATTATATTATTATTAATAATAACAGGTAAAGCATACCTGTCATTTTAACCTTCTTCAATTGTTTGTTAATGTTAGGATATATTCTTTTTTTTTTTTAAAGAAACAACCCATTGATTAAAGCTTTTTTTAAATAACACAAGTCAAGGAGCTCAAAGTCATCAGTCGGTGTGTCAGCCCTGTTCTTTAACAGACACAAGGAATCAGGAAAGGCTGTGAGCTGAACCATCAACCCTTATTCATCATTGTGTGCACGGCTTTGAACAAGAGCCAAAGTACCCAAAGCACTTTTCTTCTCTACAGAACAAACAGATGAGTAAACACTGAATCTGTATCATTTTATATGACAAACAGTTTCTCTCTAACACTCTTAAGCTGCACAATGGATTTCTGTTGAGGGGGGCTGCTAGCTGAGTTTCAAACTTCTACTTTATAATTGAAGTCATGTTGCCATTATATGTCAAACATTTCCAGGTTTACAAAAAGTCACCTTCATGCCTTTGGTTCCTTTCTAAGGGAAACATCGCTCAGTTTGCATCTTGACCACTCTCTATGCACAAACCAGATAAGTCCCCCATAACACTGTTATCCCCCTTCCCCTTCTTTTTAGCTAAGTCATTGCCTGTTCAAGATACAAATCTGAAAAATCCATTTAACAAGTTTTAAACTGTTGCCCGTTGGCAGTAATAGTTTTATAATCACTGAAGACTGCTGTACATTGGAGTTGAAGACAAACTGAAAAAGTTAACAAAACTGTTTTAACTGTAAAGGTTTGAGTGCTTCTGTTTATGCTTTTACAAGATGCAAACAAAACTAAAAACGATGCATGGAGTGCTGCATGGGTGTTAAAAAAATGTTTTTAAAAAATTGTTGAAAAGAATGTGTCCCACTGGTGCTATTAAGTGTGGAGCTCCAACTTAGAATCTATTGAAGAGGTCTAATGCACTCAGAGGGGTATAAATAAAAAGCCTTTAAATCACCAGGGCTACAGATTCATAAGAAGATGCCAACAAGTTTCAGCCATACTGGCTCATCAGAGCAGTTCTCTTAGTTGACGTAACAGGACATGGAACTGAAGACTGAGTGGTTTGAAATGTAAAGCAAACAGGACAAAGAAGGAAAATAAGGACCATGATGTTTCCTTTTTACTCTTCAGATGACAATTCCTCCAGCCAATGTTGATGATCATCCCATCAAATAGTGTTAGAAGTTGTCATTGGAAATAAAGATGTGAGCTTTTATGATCTATTGGTCAAGTTGAATGACACATTGTCGAGTGATGTAGAGCGAGAAAGTCATAGGAGATGTCTGAGTGGAAAACACAAAGACACAAAATACCAACAAACATGGGTTCTTATTTAATGTGTTATGACATGAACGCAACATTACTTCAGTTCCTTCTTCTCCTCTCCATCTTTTCTCGTCACTTAACCGAGAAGTTTAGATCCCAGACCTAACCCTTCTTTGACCCTTTCACAAAATATACCTGTTACAAAACTTGTAGGTTGAACATCTGGCCTAAAGCCCCGTGCCCATCTAGCGTTTTTTCCAGACAGAAGAGCGCTGGCTGTGCGCTTGGGAGCGCTTGCATGAAGCTTTTGTGCTCTGAGAAGAAAAGCACTGCACGTCTGTCCTGTCTCTATGACAACAGTCTGTTGACAAAGACCGCTGTATGACCGACACTGCTCCATTACTTTTTTCTTTTTCTTTTATTTCGTTTATTTCCAGATCAGACATGGCGCAAGGATGATGTGGGTACAAAACACGATCCGTAGGTGGCAAAACTACAGGGAATATCTATTTGGAAAAGAGTGACGGTGAAGTCAACAGCGCCTTTCTGAAAAGTTAAAAGATTTAAAACTTTAGCACAAAAAAAGGCTAAGAAATCAGAAAAAAATAAGCTGGGAAGTGTGCTTTTTCTCCATACAGCCAATTTCTGCTGGGAATTCTTGAATAAAAAACAATTGAGAAAAAATGTCGGAGCTCAGAAAGAAACGCTCGATGGACACAGGGCCTAATAATGACCAACAGTATTCACAAGGAAACAGAACATCAGAGAGATTATTCTGTACAATGTATATTTTGTTCTTACGCTCTGTATGACTGAAGGGGTCAGAAGTTTGAGATTGATTAATGCTGAGATGTAAATAATTAACAGCTCGCCTGGAAGTGCTCCAATAAACTAATAATGTCTGCTGAATTTGAAAAAGTTCTTATACTTATTAGAAGTTTTTTCATCCGTGAAAATACATTGGTGTATGCACTGCTTAAATTAAAAGTAGTAAACACTCAGAGATATTACGGTCTCAAGAGACATTAAAACCTCACTGTGTGTGTTTGTGAAAGAGAGAGA